TAATATTTACTGGAATTATAAGTTAATATATACAAGATTCCAGTTATTACTTAATAAAAACACAACAAAATACCTTAACTGAAAACCTGCTTTTATCAATTTCATATTAAATCAATTTTATACAGTTTTACTACACATTTACATGTATGTTATATATATATTTCATAAAATAGAACTAAATTTAGCAAGCAATTTATAACAAATATAATCAGTACAGACAGAGATCATGTATATGCAAAAACAGATGCAAAGCTGGGAATGAAAATAAATAAAACAAAATTAATTACATGTAGCCATGGAACACTTAGCATTGATTGATCAAATCATTCATATTCATAAATTGCACACATGCACAAAGATACATGATATAAAACTAATATAATAGCACTAACTTACTAAAGGTGAAATATTGGAAAGTCCATAAAAAGCACAGATAAAGAAAAGTCCATAATTTTAAGAAATCCTTGCAGCACTCCAGGTAAGCCAATTCAGCTGTCCTTTGTCTGAGACTGAATGCAGTGTCCGATCTGGTATGACCAGTTAATCCTGTTACGTAATATAATTAAGTTGAAAGATATATGGTATAAGATTGACAAAGTAAATGTATGAGTTAATCTGACAACAATGACACATGTCGACTTTAAAGGAAAAGCTTCATAAATAGAACTTATCTAAATTGACACAAGTTCAGGAGAAACAATTTACACAAACAGTTCCAGGATATTAATTATATTTATGTCACACGATGGTATAGATTAAATGAAAGTTTGTAGTTTAAAATACGCCAAATAACGAATATAATGATATATTAAATTAAAGTTCAAAGAGGTATGGCGGAAGACTGCCCGTATTTCCCTAAGTCGGCATTTTTGAAAACGGAAAAAAATATTGATGAGTAAATAATCTTTAGTAGCAAAAATGCATGGAATAGATATAAAACCAATTGAATATGAATTTTTGAACTGTTGAGATATTCGGTATTGTTGATATAATACTGCAAATATAGCCATATTCACTATATCTATGAAAGTGAAGGGGTTTCCCAGACTTAAAACAATACTTTTAATACTTTCCCATCCGAGGACCAACTTTTGAATGTGCAAAAACAAATCGTATGACGGAAAAGTGGTCCTCCTTTGGGAAAGTGCTCAAAATAATGAAAAACTGGGTTGATCAAGTTTTTAAAAGCAGTTTGTATTTCCCTTTTTGTAATGCAGTTAGCTTTCGACCAGAAAAAAATGTGAACAGTGTAGGTTCGAATCCACATTCAGATTCACTTTTTTTGTTTTTTACTTTTGTTTAATATTTAGGCATGTGATCATTTTCCTTAATTAAGTGATAAATATTTTTCAAATCAATAGAACATTGTATTGATATTTTAATAACATACCTATTGATTTAGCTTCTACGGAATCATATCAACACATCCCTGTATGCGTGTACAGTACAGCTACGCTTTGTAGTTGAGACATCATTTTAAATGATATTTATGAATTGTTTTACCGTCCAATTGGCACTAGTATTTTTATTTATTATCTTAACGCAAACAAACGATGCCGAAATAGACAGTTCCATGTACCATACACTATTTCTATATCTTCTGAAAATTGAATGGATATAACACTTCTAATTATAATTCGATTCATATTTCGTATATTTAATTTCTACCACAATCATTGTACACCACACGTGGTATATATGACCTTCCAGAGTTTTGATTGGTCGAGAAGATGAACTTTGACCAGGACGACTTTTTCCGCGTGCTTTTTGCCACATATGCTGTTTTGTTTACGTCGTCTGCTGTCAACATCCGGCAAATGTTGGTGACTTTGTGAGGTTATGCGATGGGGAAAATGGGGTTATTAATGCAATGTTAAAAGAAGATGATACTTAAAGATTTGATCGCTAGTTTCAGGCAAAATTACTATAGACGCTCGATATCGTTTCGACGTCACACCGTCGCGTGTCCAAAACATGATCTGTCACTGTGTCGGAAAATATTTCGTTCTCCCAACGTCCCGTTATCGCTATTTGGAGGGTCTGACTATGGCTGAACTTTCACTATAAACGTCAACCATAGACCCGTCACGAAGAAGCGTCCCAGGCTTATGGTTTTGGACATTGACAGCGATAAGCTTGTCTTCATCACTTGGCGGGAGGCAGACTTCGTACGATATGCGTACGCGCATCTAGTCTGCGGTTAATTTATATAAATTAATGCAATACTGCATACTCTCAATACTTAAAGACGTTCATCTACTATATTTTTTTCACGAAGTTGTTGCCAAAACATTTATTTTGACAATTATTAATTTGTAAAAAAAAAACCAACATTTTTTAATATTAATGAGTGACTTTTTACATATGGGTAATATCACTACGCCAGCCTTGTCAACAAACACATCACTCCAAGTTCAACTGTTTCTGACTGAGATTGTGGTAGAAACAGATCACACAACTCGTGGTTGTTGAGTATAGTATTTATTTCACTCTCGTTAGTTAATTTTCAAAAGCTACTTTTGAAAATTAAATAACGAGAGTGAAATAAATACAATATTCGATCAACAACCACTGGTGTGTAACCTTTGTATATCTGTAGGTTACCCAACAGTGGACATAACGTCTGGTAAACGATAGAAAATTGTTCACGCCACGACAAGTTAAGCTGACATCATCAGCACTCTTGATAGGAAGTTTTAGTACTTTACAGCCGTATTGTGAATGTATACTGGCATTATTGTCACCAATCCATGTGATGGTGAATTGTGTTTGACTTGCAATATCTTATACACATCAATTGATTCGTGGGTTATTAAATTTGTCTCAATACCGGGGCTCTGAATTCAATCTTTCGCTTTATAATCCTGACTCAAGCGAGATTCAACTGTAAATGGAGACAGACTGTAGTTCTGTAGCTTCCTGTAGGCGTTTGTTATCGGTGATTTGCGCATCTTTGATCATACCTTAAACATGTATACAGGTAACCAACACTAGCGGGATCCGTTGTTGTCTTCCCTCTCGAATTGGAGCTCCGATTTTCCCACTGTATGTTGGCCCTGTAGGTCATTGCTTTCTATTTCACTTTTCATTGGATAGACTTCATGTCGGATTAAACTTACTCGGTCGTCATAATAACCGGTTTTCTAACTATAATATAATATTTTTGACAACAACCAAAGTATTGTTCATTGTTTTCAATTTTCAGTCTGGTCGACCGATAGTGTTCGGCGTCTATTTTTGAATTGAATCGATTGATTCTATAAGGACACAGTCAACTGCCTCCATAACGTGCGCAATACTTACTAAGATGTACGAGCACTGCCTCCGTAACGTGCGCAGTACTTACTAAGATATACGAGCACTGCCTCCGTAACGTGCGCAGTACTTACTAAGATATACGAGCACTGCCTCCGTAACGTGCGCAGTACTTACTAAGATATACGAGCACTGCCTCCGTAACGTGCGCAGTACTTACTAAGATATACGAGCACTGCCTCCGTAACGTGCGCAGTACTTACTAAGATATACGAGCACTGCCTCCGTAACGNAGACAGTACTTACTAAGATATACGAGCACTGCCTCCGTAACGTGCGCAGTACTTACTAAGATACACGAGCACTGCCTCCGTAACGTGCGCAGTACTTACTAAGATA